CTAGGGGTCACCCTAGGGTCATTTTGCCGATAAGTCGATGATATGAGCCTTGGGGTCACCCTAGGGTCATTTTGTCGATAAGTCGATGATATGAGGCTTGGGGTCATCCTAGGGTCATTTTGTCGATAAATCGATGATATGAGGCTTGGGGTCACCCTAGGGTCATTTTGTCGATAAGTCGATGATATGAGGCTAGGGGTCACCCTAGGGTCATTTTGTCGATAAATCGATGATATGAGGTTGGATAAAAGTGCACTCACATTCAACAACCCCAAATATTATATATCAAATTCTACTAAGCACATACAGCAGATACCATCAAAGTGCACTCACATTCATAAAGGTTCATCAAGGTTGGATCCAACACCTGATCTCACAAAATACATACATAAAGGTTCATAAATAGATACTAAAGTACTTAATAGATGATTATCATCTAGATTACATCACTGTTGGATCCAACACGATATATCGCAAAATCATCACTGAAGTAGTTGGGTCACAAATTCAAACTAAAGTACTGGATAGAAGATTATCATCTAGAAACTGATAGATGATTATCATACTAGAAGGCACCCTACTCATCTAAGATGGCCTTCACACCCTGAAGCTTCAACTTTATCTTTTCCTCAGACTTTTGAAGCTCAGAAATTTGATACTGCAGTTTCAGCCTCTCTTCTGTCAGCCTCTCCTTCTCCTTCAAATGATTGAACTTCAAGTTCCTAATCACATTGGCTTGAGCACCTGCCAGGTTCTTCATAGTTTCATAGTTTTGCAGCATCTTCTTCTTCTCCTCCTCTGTCTTTGACAGCTCTGCCTTTAAGTTCCCCACTACAGTCTCAAGCTCAAATCTTCACATCAACATATTCCTTCTACTCCTTCTGATTCTTTAACTCCACACCCCTCTGCTGCTGGGCATCCAAGAGAGAATTCACATCAGCATACAAACTGTCATAGTTCTCCTGTAGTTTCTTCTTCTCCTCCTCTTTCTTTGATAGCTCTGCCTTCAAGTTGCCAACTACAGTTTCTAGCTCAGCAATCTTCACTTCATGATATTGCTTCTGCTCCTTTTGATTGGCTAACTCCACACCCCTTTGCTGCTGGGCATCAAAAAGAGCATTCACATCAGCACACAAACTGTCATAATTCTCCTGTAGTTTCTTCTTCTCTTCTATCAGGTTGTGGATCGCAAATGAACTCTCTAGATTGGCATTGGTCCTAGCTGACTTAATCTCCTCATACATATCCCATAGCTTGGCCAATGCCTTCTCCATTGAGTCTGGCCATTCAAAATCAATCCATTGAACTACTCCACAGTTTAGGCCTTCCTGTATTATAAACAATAAAATAAATAATTAATTATGGTTCAGGTATCATCAAACCAACAGGTTCAGGTGTCTAATATGTGCACTGTTAAACAGACAAATAAACAAGTCACTAAGCACTGACAGGTTCCTTACCATAAAGCACACAAATAAACAATGCCCAGACAAGTAAACAAGTCATTAAGCACTGGCCATAATAAACAATGACTACCATCCACTAATGAGAACACACTCCAACACAGTGGCTAAAGCAAATTAAACAAAGACAAAGCACTTAACCAAGCTTAACAACTTGATACATAAAGGAGTTAGCATTGACCAATATAAACAATGTGTACAATCCACTAATGACAAGGCATGTCAGGACAAGCTAAACAAAGACCAAGCTAAAAAAATATTAATAGCTTGATAAACAAAGCATTAAGACAAACAGCTTCCTTTACACAGGATGTGAATCATACCTTCGTAGCACATCCAAGAAACCTCCTGCCCGTGTGCATCCCTTCAAATGCAACAAAGCGCTCGGCCGGCTCACCGTGTTCACACAAAACATTCACATCTGCGTCAGTGCCATTGAAATTCGGATCGTGCATCGTAGCTGGAAGCTGTGGGAGCAAGCAAAGAGAAGGCTAGGTTCAGATCGAACTCTGTGACAAAATCCCCATTTCACTAACCCTAACCATAGCTCTAGCTATCTAACGAACTGACCTTGATGATGCCATCCTAGGAGGAGGAGATGTTCAGGACTGAATCCTCACTGGTCTCGTCGCTCCATGACACCATGGCACCGTGGAGCAGCAGAACGGCGGTTGGCGGTGTGGCGACGCCGGGGGAGAAGAACAGAGTGAGAACAGAGTGAGGAGAGGGCGAGGCAGAGGATAGAGTGTGAGGAGAGAGCTGGATCGATCCAGTTTTTACCCACATGGCGGAGCAGTAGCGGCAGTCACGCCGTTAGACGGCGTCAGCTGGTGGCCGTGATGCCACGTAGACGAAACAGGGCCCCGCCTGTCATAATAGTGCTTAAAATGCCCCAACAGACGGTTAGGTGTTTTCTGCAAATGATTAGGTGCGAAATCAGTGTTTTCTGCAACAAAATCGTAGAAGAGTCTTTTCTACAACCCTAAGCTTCAATGTGGTGGTTTTCTGCAATTCACTCTCCCCGGGACGCACATCATTTATGTTGGCCCATCCAAGGAGTAGAAGAAGGACGATGACAAGAAGGACGATGACAAGAAGGACGACGCCGACGAGGACGAGAAAGATGATGACAACAAGCAGGTGGTGTGTCCATGGACCCACCACCACCACCCACACCCGTACTACCTTGTCTTCCATTCCATTCTCGAGTGGAGATTGGCATGAATTCCCCAATACTATCATAGAACATAATGACAAAAAAATTGATTGAATGGTGCCAGCCAGATTGGGAAGATACCTATATCACATTTTAACATGTTTCATAACCTCTTGAATTTAGAAGGTAAATCTTTTAGCACTATCAATCTTTTGAACTACTCCCAAATGTTTTGATTTTGCTTTCTTTGGGGTCTTGGTACTGCAACTAGACATTTTCAAACCTAAAATATTGTTGATTTAGGGATGGAGGCAACAATCTCTTATGAAATTTTACACAAGGTGTGTTGTAGAAGTAGGTCTTGCGGGAGGCATTGCTAATGTGCTAGGGTAATTTCCATGATTCAAAGAAGAAGAACCGGTCCAACTTCTCCAAAAAGGGGAGTCTCTTGCATATAAGCCCAAGTGTAGCTTCTTCCTTTGCATAGTATGTCAACAAGAGTAAGAGAGTTAATTGTTGCAGTAAAGTCAAACCTTTTATGAAATTTTCCTCCATCTTTTTTTCTACTACTGGGGTACCTAATATAATTGAAATCCCCCACAACTAGACAATCCATGTCATCTTGCATCCGAGTGTCTTGGTGTAAGTCTACCACCATAATTGTGATATTTTCCAGGCGCTGAGCTTTTTTCGCTTCCAATACTTATTGCTCAGTCTAACAATAGTTGATGGAATAGCTAAATAATCAAGACTTTTACTCCTTCCACGCAACATATGGAAGGATAGCTATCCCTTTTTCCTTAGCTTTACTAAAATAATAGATGTCTCACGCTTGTGGAAAACTACTTTGAGGTTAGACAAGAGCCCAAATTAACACAATATAAGCTTTAGATTTGGAGCACACTAGATGCCATTTGGGGACATGACAACATTATGTTCTTCTAGATAAGGAACAATGCCTTGCAACAAACCTTGTCTTTTTTCCTAATTAGCAAATGCAACGCATCTATAACTACATCAAGCAGAGTTGTAGAAAAGGAACCCATTACCTAAGTCCTTGTTTCGTTTCACGTAAAGGGCCAACTTGATCGTTTACCATAACCGTCACTTCCGTGCGATTCATAGACTGCATAACCCAATATTGTACAAAACAGGAAAACTACCTTTTCAAGGGAATCTATTGCCATGTGCTTATCTTATGCATTTCATGCATGACGTAGCGCAAAAGAATAACTACATCTAGTAGTATAAGCCTACTGTTAGCAAAAGTTAGTATCTGTTTTTGTGCTCATTATTATCTCTATCTACTCTTTAAAAACGGCTACGAAATCAACGCTCCAAATGCTCCCCTTAAATTTCATCAAGTCTGTCCGTGTGGCAGTCACCAAAACTGATCCCCCGTAAGCTTCGGATGGAGTGATGGAAAAGAGAAACAGAAATGGCCGATTTTACTTTTCTCTTCTTCTTTGAGGCATCTCTCTTCCACGGTACAGCTGTAGAATATTGGGTGGTTTGGGACAGGAACATGAAAGCTTAGATTTTTGCGATCTTCTCGGCTCTTCGTACGTGATTGATCACGCACCGGTGTAGCTACAGGACCGGATGGCCGGTTTCTCGTGCGGTGCGATCTTCTCGGCTCTCGGTTTCTCGTGCGACGATGGCGATCTCTTCCCAGGACGTACGGTTTAGTTCTGGCATTCCGCAGCAGTCGTGGTCACGCGCTCAAGTTTTCTACGTTCTTCGGTCCGGCCAATTTGATTCCCATTCGGTGCAGTACAGGTGCTCTAATGGCGGCCAGGCGCCCAGGCCGACCCGGAGCCACGGTCGCTGCCGGTGTCAGCTGGCGAGCACTGGCGAGCACTGGCGCTCCGGCACCGGATCGGCCAAGACCGGCAGGTCCCCCGATATGTATGGCCTGACGGACGGACGTAGGTACGTGCAGGTGTAGGTCCGCCCGCGTGGGCACGAGACCCGGCGGGTCATGGTCGTCGCGGCCATCCGTCGCCATCTCTCAGCAGTAAAGTTCACGATGAAGTATGAACAGTGCACTTAGCTACAGTACCAGACAAGCCCCTGCCTTTCCTTGTGGATCGTGCACTCCGTCCGCACTGTTCATCATCCTGGTACGTGCTGGATCCGGCCGCCACATCCACCTGATCGATCAGTGATCAAACACAATCAGCCGGGGCGAAAGGGAGGAGACGAGAAACCCGTGCGTTATCCAACGGCTGCGCGCTTATCCGTTCCTGTAGCTCCTGGAACGGACGGTCGATCCGACACGGAGGGGGAGGGAGGCAGCTTCGTGGTGGGTTCCTAACTGTTGATGTGATGTTTGCTCCCGCGCCTCTTTGAAAAACTAAAAGGACAAAGCCCACCACCTGCCTAGACGGGGCTTGCCTGCCTGCTCCAGGCGCATGCGCCGGCCATAGGCTGGGAATCTTCTGGTGGAGTACATATCTGGTGGAAACCGTACATTCAGTGAAAACATGAAAACTTGGTCTTGTGCCGTTGGATAGAAAATGTGTGCTGCGAGATGAAAGGATGTACAAATTGCAAATTAAACCCCGCAAGAATTCTGCTCCTCCGTACAGAACCTGAGCCCATACCTTTCCCCGTAGCAGTATGCCAATCCCCATTCTATTTCCTACCGTGAGAAGCTAGGGTTAGGAGTCGAGCTGGCCAGACCCTCTCTTTCGGCGCTGGACGGCGAGCGGCGGGCAGCGCCGGTGATTCCTCTCTGGTGATTGTCCCGCTAACAGTGGCAGCCCTATTCCGAGCGTTGCATCCTGGGCCGGCGGTCAGCGAGCGACGCAGCTGATACCTCTCAGGCGATTGTTCGGCCAGCCGTGCTCAATCCCCAACTGGATTTGGGTCCCTAGGTATGAGGATTTGTACCCTTCATATTTTCTGCTTTGTCCCAATGGCTCATCTAGTGGTCTCCTCTTCTCTAGATTGGGCTAGATTTGCAAAGCAAACAGAGGAGGCTAGTAGCTCGTGGCTCATTGGGTTGTCTCCTCCAAGTTCAGCACAACTAAAAAGGAAATAGGAGAGGGGACGAGGTAGTGGCATCTTGCCAGCAACTGCTTATTTCCTAGAGTTTACTATCCATATTTTTGTCTTGAAGAAATTGGCGATATATAATTTACTTGCTCCCAATTAAGTGTTATATACATCTATGACTATACGTGTGTCGATGCCCGGCGTGTGTGCTGCGTGTGACAGTAGTCTAATGAAAATTTATATCTATATAAACTGCTACTGCTACTGTCTAGATGGAATTTAGATGATGATAAGTATGTAAACTGAATCGGCCAACCGATGTGGGCACTCACAACCCGTCTGCCAGTGCCTGTCATGACCATCTACAGCTAGGTGAATTTTTCACACACTAATGATATGCTGATGGTTCTGGAAACCAGTAGTACGTCCACGGGCTGTAGATGGTACTATAGATGTGTGTGTGTCCCACTGCTACTAGTGTTGCTGACAGTGAACTAGATGATGTAAGTTTCTATTGCAATTGATTGGTAAAGTGTGCTGAGATTAGGTAATGCTAGCACTTGAATGTTCCTTGTGCCATTTATTTTATTTTATGCTATTCTGGAAGACACATATTGGGTGGCTCCTATGATTCCACTTACAAACTGTATATCTTGTTTTGTGGAGTAACTAAGGAATGCCAAAGTGAAGTGAGCAAGGCTCCTTCTTTGGCTATTTGTGATGTCCAGTCTGATGCAGAATCAGCCGTCCACACTAGGCCAAGTCTGGACATAGGGTTTACTACACCATAGAAATCCTATAGTGCACCTTTCTGTGCAAGTACTTGCCTAACTAATATGTACCCCCTCACTACTTTAGTGATCTGTAAACGATGCTTGTGTTGAAGACATCATGGGCGATTGAAAAGCATGGCAGCGAGGTGTTCACGCATGAGATATTTTAGGATTTTCAACATTAGTTGCTTGCTGATAAGGATCATTGCTTTGTTGAGATGATGACACATGATGGTGAGGGTAAAACAACAAGTATACATGACGGCTATAAGAAACTAAGGGTGGTAACTTACAACACAACAACCATGGTAGGTTCTTGCACATGTAAGTTGTTTGAGACCCATGGTATCCCATGTCGTCATCTGATCCATGTCCTAAGAACTTCCCAGCTAAATGAATTGTCAAAGCATTATGTACTCAAAAGGTTTAGAAAGGACTGCAAAACTGAGCCAGTCTTTGACAAGGGCGGTATTCTATTGGAAGGAAATGAGAGCAGTTCAATTGATCAGGAGATACAAAAATTAGC